GTCGATGTTTATATATATCAAATACTGGTTTCTTTTTGTTATCGTTAAATGAAAATGTAAATTCTTAGGGTTGGTAGCTTGAATGAATTTTACATGGAATATTCAACGAATATTTTCAAAACTTTGTTCAATTAGAGAACAGATAGATAAGGCTGAAATAATTTATAGATAAAAAAAAGTGATCTTCGTGACAATTATTAGGCAAAACAAAGTTTATTTTAACTGTTAGTTTACAAATAGACTTCTAGAAAGTTTTCTTGATATACGTGTGAATATTCATATAAAGATCATCAATTTTTCTATTTTCATGCTTAATTTGTTTCCTTCAAACATGTATTCGTAAGTAACTACAAATCTAATATCAGACTAAGTTATCTGACCAAATTGTATATCATACATACTTAAAAGTATACCTTGGAGATCATTGTAGTATAAGATCTGCTCAGCAACAAGTGCTTCACAGGCAGACGAGATAACTCCATGAATTCCTTACTGCTTCTTACTTGTCTTGCTGTGGGATACAAACCGATCCAGTAGTTTGGTGATTTGGTGGCCATCAGGTGCTCCTAAACAGAGGCCTTAATGGCCAATTTTAGTCTTACTATCTCATTTTTTCTAAGGAATGAATAAAACTCAAAAACCAAGAGTCATCAAATGGGTAAGAATTACGTTGGTTTACGAATAATTTCAATAGATAACATAAAGCTCTGTAATAATAAACAGCGACAGCTTCAAAACCAACATTCATATGATTACTCGTATTAATTAATAATCAATTCATGAAATAATTTTGACATTCAAATTTTAGTTTAAAAAAAAAGCATTTAAAATGTGTCTGAACTGAGTGCTTTGAAAGGAACTCTGAAGTCAACTGATAAATTGTGAATAAATTCATTCTTCACAATTCGTTATTTAGATCTTTTCTAAGCTGATTTCTACTTGCAGATTGGTAATTCTTTTCAAATATACATCTATTTTTTTTTCTTTCGTCTCACAGTAATTCGAAAATAATATAGTAAAAGTTTAAATCGTTTTTTTCTCAATTCTAAATACTTCTCTATTTCCAATGATGCCATCTAGATGAGATAATGTAACTTGCTGAGTTGCCGATCTCAGAACTACATTAACTGTATGTCATAATTGATTTCAAATAATTCTGTTTCATAGCAAAGGAATTTTAATTTTAACATGCTTCGTTTGTATTTAGAAAAAGGAAAGTAGCTTTCTTACATCAAGATTAACCGATCATTTTTATTCGCTCTTGAATAAAACATTGATTAGCTGACGAAAGTCATTAAATCTCTATAACATGGATGAAATTGAATAACAGAATAATGTGATATTTCTTAAAAGTGAATATTTATTAGAAAGCTACTATAACCGTGAATTTCCACAGTATTTATTTTGTTGCATCGAATAATGCAGCTACTCGAGAAGTGTAAGTCTAATGAGTTGATTGCATATTTTCTTTTTTAAATTGTCTCAGATTAGCCGTTATGCACATAGACGAATCATTATTGACTCATACGTTTGATTAATTTACTGATAATTTCCCAATAATCAACGTCGTCTCTTATACATCGACACTGTATCTAAGGAAGTAATAATTATACGCTTTCATTTCTAAATATCAAAATGAAAAAAATGACTCGATTGGAAGACTTATCTAATGAATTGTTCTTCGAAATATTTGGTTATTTACATGCACTTGATATTTTTACGGCATTTTCAATACTCAATCAACATATTACATTGATACTGTCTTCAATTTCACTTCGTATTGTTGTTTCCTCATATCATTGTCATCGTCAAATAAAATGTTCTTCTTTGATCTTATCGATTATACACATCAAGCAGTTTCAATTTCTCTTGAAGATTCCATTCGTGATTTTACATCTGTTATTTCTTCCTTTTTCATTCGACATACATTTGAAAATCTTGAACTATGTGCACTTTACTCATCACATTGGTCAATACAAATACGAACTGCATTGCAACAATTAAAAAATCTCATTAAACTAAGATCGCTTCGATTTATCGTAGGAAATCATAGGCAAATTTGTGAAGAAGAACAACAACATACAAGTCAAACTATTTTAACATATCAATCATCTTCATTTCGCTCGCTCGCTCGATTTTGTATTTTACTTCAATCATTCGTATTTAACAACTGGTGTTACTCTTAACTGGAAATTAACATCAATAACTTTAACATTTTATGGTTTACTTCATCAATTATCAATTTATTGTGTTCTAGATGTATTTCATATTTATCGTGCATAAAGACGTTTACGTGTATTTATATTAATTCCTGCAAATCCAAATATTCAACATGCATAGTAAGTATTTTTATGGCATGATATGATTTCGTATTAGACTATCTGCAAATTGACAGAAGAAAATAAACAGGGTTTTTATTATGATTGGTAGTGGTACAGTAGTTTTAACCAAAAGTTATACTGATGCCTTCTCTATGGAATTCTCTACGAAAGTATTTAATTTTGACAAGCTATAAAAAGGATTTCATATTTAGCAGAACTTGTTCATTCTACAATGGTAAGACTAGGATTTAAAGAAAAGTATGTGAAACAAAAAATATGTAACCGTAATGAAATTTATGGCATAACTGATATAGAAAAAGAAATAATTCACAGTAAACTAATGAAATAGAAAAAAAATCTTCGTTCATATATATTCTTACTCATATTTTTATGTTTCTTTATGAGATATAAAATGAAAGATGATTTTTAATGGTGAAATAGGATTCTATTGATTTTAGACAATATATTATTTTCATCACTGAAAACGGGTTAAACTAGACATCTAGCCCGCCTTGGGCCGGATAGAAACGTCGGCTGACTGCAGAGCCCGAAAAATATCAAAACTTGTTATTTTACGACATCTACTATTTCTATACCCAAGACTTGTGTGGAGGAAATCATAATCAATCTGAATCGTAGATTTCCATCTAAGGAAGCTCTCAGCTGTTCATTATCGTTCATCATCTCATCTGTATAAACCATGAAGAGATTTTGTTAAATGTTTGAGACGACTCTTTCATGGATGAATTTCAATTATGCAAGACGATAATTAAAGCATATATGCACATAAGATCTGAAATATGAATGGTGTTTTAAGCGTGAGTCCTGTATAACCATATAAGGAAACTAACAGCTGTTAATTATCAATTTTGGCATTATTTACATCTCCTGAACGCTGCCGAATTTCGAAAAACGGATTTCAGATGTACACTTGTCACATTCTCAGAGTGGGTGTGGGGTGTGCGTGTGCGTGTGAACGAGAAGAACAGTCACCCACACACCCACACCGGTTGCAGAAAATGAGATGAATAAGGCTGGTTCGATAGTAGTTTCAGACAAAAAAGGAATGGAAATAACGATAGCAAGAATTCGAGTTCATCGATCAACATTTTAGCGTTATCTAAAGTCAATAATGCCTATCGTCGATATGAAATTCCTTCAACACTTTGATCTATATTCTGCATTGTGCATTCAATCAACGCAAATATTCGAAGATTTGGTAACTAATCAAGAATGCCGCATAACTCTTTGTGATTAGAATGTTGAACTCTCAATTCATGTATTGGACACTGGTTTGACCATGACATCTGATCAGTTATTTATCTCGTTATGAACATCTAAAATGGTTTGATGAAGGAGAGCCATTCAATCACTGGATAAATGATCTTTGCTGAGTCATAGTCAATGAGAATGATGACAGGATAGAATTTTTTAGAGAATTCTCGATTGTCTGCAAATCATACTTGTCGATATCATAAAGTGTCAACGAGCGAAGTCGAGTCAAATGATAAATATAGGCAGAGTTCAAAAATTGTCTGATGATAGGTGAAAAACAGTTATAAAAATGATCCAAAGTAAGTATAACAATATTCTTCGGTGGTATGTTTCGATACAATTGTTGCATCTGAGACACTAATAATGTAGAAGTAAATATGAGCAACAATCGTTTATGATTCTGAAATTGTCTGCAGACATGGGCAAATGAAAGCAGAATTTCCTTTCCATCAAGCAAATCAAGAACATGCTTGATGAGTTCGACAGAAAGTGCCACAAAATTCGGCATTGGTTTTCACCGACATATTTTACGGAAGAATGATGAAATGCACATCGCGTGTATGCGATAAGAAAGAAGAGAAAGTTTGTCATAAAAGTTGAAAAATATGTTTTACATGTTTTTTCTTCATAATGACTTTTTTTCCTGTGTTAAGAAAACAGAAAAATAAAAAGAAATGACTAATGTGTTCATCAGTTACACAAAATAACTTCTCCACATTGGTCTCATATCCCTGTCACAGCCAAAATTACATCCAAAACGTACATGCATCTATCAGTATTACTTGTAAGAGTAGCCACGAACAACAGAACGAAAAAAAAAAGAGAACTCCGCGGCGGGGAATCGAATAAACCTATTCATATTTCATGCTCATCTTTCATTTTGCCCTTCTTGGTTACATAAAAATGTACCACATTACATATGAATATGAATAACCCCGGTTTCCCGCGTGACAGGCGGGGATACTAACCACTATACTACCGCGGACAGAGACCATTGTATCGATAAACATTTTCGTAGAGTAATTAAATATATTTAAATAAAAATTTTAAAAAATCTAAATTAAAATATTTCGAGTAATTCTATTGACTTAAAACAGTACTAGTTATTATCGTAATAAAAAAATAATAATAAATCTCGTTAAAATTTGAATTCTTTTAAAAAGATCACGAAAACATTCAATTTTCAATCATTATATATTTCATCTAAGAGGTAATAAAGTAGACAAGCAAAATTAGAAATAAAAACTAAGTGCGCAACATTGATATCTAAAACTTTTAAGGAAATCGTTTTAAAAAAAGAATACAAATACTGGACTGTTTTAATGATAGAATAAACATAATAAATTGTAATGAAAAAAAAAAATTATTTATTTTATCAGTTTAATATTTGATAGACATGTTTTATTAAGACATGTCAGAATCGAACGATTGACTGGTATTATCGAGTCCATCATCATCTCTCCAAGGTACAATGTAACTCATAGCTTTCTCTTTTACAGATAAATTTTCACATTGTCGTAAATGTCGAAGAAGATTTTGACATTGTTCTCGATCAATAGCAGATTGATTAAATACATGGTTTGTTAGTAAATCAAAAACTAATAATGGTCGATTTTTTTCTTTAATAAACCATTGAGCTAAATTAAGTTTTTCATCAATACTTAAATGTTGAATAAAATGGCAAGAACCATCTTGATGAATAAAACTTGATAGTTCTGTTAATATTCTTTCAAAATAAATTTCAGATAAATTTTCTTGAAGAATTTTTAATCCGTCTTCAATATCTTCTTTATTTTGAGCTATTTTTATTAATAATTTGCCAATGAGAGGAGCTAATGTTTTATCAAACTGAAGAAATATTGGAGTAAGTGAACGAAATTGAATTTTTTTCTCATTATCTAACTGATCCATAATAGATGTAAGATTTTTTAATATAGTTTCAATACGATGATAAACTGGTAAATCATGTTGATTATCAATGGCATTTTGTTTTGAATCAACATCTTCTCTGCATAACATGACTTGTTTAATAACATTAATAATTATATCTAATGAAGATCTATTCAGAAAATAATAAATAAATTGTTATTTTATTATTTTTTTTTAACTTACAATTTTTGTTGTTTATAAAATAAAATCATTTTTTCAAAAGCTTTTACCCATAAAATATTGGCATTTTTATCAAATTGAATACATAAATTTCGAGCTTTTTCAATTAATTCATTCATATGACAATGTTCACATTCAAGATGTGACCAGGCATATGAACGTGCTTCTAATGATGTTGGATGATCTAATATTTTAAATTGTATTTGATTAACAAATGTTTCAAATAAATTTTTCGATGTATTTTTTAATTTCGATAATGGCCAACGAGAATTTCCTCTATGAGCAGCAAATAACGATTGTACTACTGGAAGATAATCATCATATGTAGCTTGTTCAAGAATATTCCAAATGATAATATTATCATCATTTGAATTTGATTTACCAATAAAATGAAGTAGAGTTAAAATAAGACATGCACGAATATCTTGATGAGGATGACTGTCCCATAAAGGTTTTATAACAATATTTATTAAACTTGGATCAGATACATATTGAATTAATAAACGAAGAATTTCTTTATTTGCTGTTATACCTAAACAAATAAAAAACAAACACATATTCAATGATAAATTATTTATTATTCTTATTATTTAATCTAACCAAGTTTTTGAAATTGTTCATTACCAATAAATTCAAGATAAGATTTTAAGAATATTTCATCACTTATTTTACGTGAAATACTTAGCATAGCATCACTAATAAACTTAGCATTTGATGCATTTAACTTTGTTTTTAATACATCAAAATGTTTTAGTAAAGTTTCTGGTTTTAAATCAAATGTAGCTGGTAAACATAAAATAATATCATCAAGTGGTTGAACAGTAGCACCACGAGAACGCCCACGAGAGCTCTCATCAGAACGCTTAATTACTAATGGAGAATCTTGTTTTTTATGAAGCCATTCAAGAGTTTCATTATATGTATGTGATAAAGAACGAAGAACACGTAATGATTTTAATTTATTCAAATTAGATACATCTTCATCCTAAAACAAAAAACACAATTGAAGTAGTTGTTTTTATTTTTTTTGATAAAATGATTACTTGAAGATATTCATTTAAAATAATATTAGTGATATGTTGTTGTTGTTTTCCAGTCAAGAGATGATAACAACTATTCAATACTTCAATATTTAATCCAGGTAATTTAAGATTTTTTGTTGTAGAATTTAATGCTGCTGAAAATTTACATTGTTCATTTGATAATTTATCTATAGTAAGAGATTTATTATCTTGAATTAATTCATCTATAAATTGTCGATATTGTTGAGAACGTAAAGCAACTCGTTGAACATCTGTATCAATAAAAAATATTTTATCAATCTGGTTAATTAATTGATTAACTCTTTCGAATCGAGTTGAATTATTTTTTAAATAAAATGAAATCATTGAAGAATGTGCATCAATTTTAAATGCTGATTGAAGTTTTGTTGATAAAGAAAGAGATTGAGTGAAAAATAAATTAATAAATGAATCTATTTGTGGTAAACGCCAAGCTTTATCTATGTATGATTGTAATGCATTATTCAATTCATCTAACATTAATTTTGAAATAAGTTTTGGAAATAAATCTGATATAAGAATATCGGCCAATATAGAACGTGTTTCTGGATACGTTTCACTTATTGATATTCCATAAACTGTGATGTTATCACTCTTTGAATAACATCTAAATTAAAAATTAAATTAAATGAATATTTTATTATCGATTATATTAAACAAAAACAAATAATTTTATCATTTTTCAAGTTCTTTTCAGTTTTATTCAATTTCATAAAATACTTCAAAATCTTCAATTCTCTTTAAATTAAATAGCTGATGATTTATGTTCAATGGATAACATTTAAAAGAAAATGAAACTTTCGTTTTTCAAAATCAAAAGAAAATTGTTTTTTCTGAACATAATTATTATTTGCTAAAAAAAATTCTCGAAGATAAAATTTAGACTGTAATCCACTATATATATCGGCGATTATGTCAAAAAATGTGTGACATCAGATAGTTAGAGATCTATCGAGAGCAATCATCTCGATAATATCTACTATGTCGAGATGCCTAATTAGTGATAAATATACATTTATATTAATTATCTTATTTAGTTTTGATTGCAAGGATTTGTTTTATGATTGATTTTTTTTTAAAAGAAAATATTCTTACTGTTTGATAATTTTCTTGGCGAATTGTTGAATTATTTCTTTTCGTTGTTTATTTCGATGATGTTCAACAGATCGAAGTAAAAATAATCCATAAGATAAAATAATTTGTAAAGTATATGCTGATTGTTGTAAATGATTAATAGCAATATCAATAATAGTTTGAATTGAATCAATATTATTTGGTAAATATTCTAAATTAAATCGCATGTTAGATGAACTTAATTGATTTAAGAAATTTTCAATAACAGTTAATTGTTCATTAGTAAATCTTTTTGCAATCCATTCAAGAACTTTTTTAACATATTGTTCATTTGTTGATATAGCACATTGAAAAAAAAGTGGATAATTTTGAACACGTTGATTAACATCTGAACCTGTGTTTTTAAATAAAGATAAAAATTTATCAAATATTTCTTGTGTCATTAAATGATAACGAAGAAATGATAAACGTTCTTTATCATCACTTATTCCATTACGTTCATGTTGTGATAATATATGAATAGAAAGTGGTGTTGTTAATTCTGGATACATTTGAAATAATCGAAGACTATCTTCATTTCCTTCTTTTAATAATTTTTTTAAAAATAATTCTTTTCCAATATGTTTTTCAATAATAATATCAATTAACCATTTTTGTTCTTTTTTTAATGTATAAAGATTTGAAATTTTTTGTCGATTTTGTAAAATATATTCAAATATACGAATCGTATGATTTGATGACCATTTACATGTATTATATAAAGCAAGAAATAGACGAACATAATTTTCAATAGAAAATGAACGAGGTATTTCAAATGAACTGAAATCTGATCCTTCATTAGACCAACTAGATGCATATTTCATTTGACCTATATAAATAAATAAATAAATAAATAAATAATTAATTAATTAATTTTAAAATAAATAAAAACCTGGTTGATTTGAACCAATGATTGTCATTATTTGAATCATTTCTTCTGGACATTTTTTAAAAAAATATTCTTGTTTTGAGTAAATAAATGATGGTAAAAATCTTTTATGTTTTTCTAATTGATTTAAATATTCAATTGTTAAATTCATTAATCCTTTTGTTTCTTTTTTTGAAATTAAATTAAATATTTGATCATTTTTTTGAAAATAATTTGAAAATTTTTCATAATCATTTTTCTTTTCATTTAAATCAGCTTTCATTAAATGAATAATAATAAGAGGTTGATAAAAAATTAATTTTGAATAAAATGCTGATGTTAAATTAATTTGTTCAAAACATTTTAATGACCATCGAGATAAAAGATCAATTATTTGATCATGTTTACAAAATGGTACTAAATGTGCATCTATATTATATTGATCATGATTATTTGATTCTGTTAAATGACAAGCAAGATCATAAAAAAATGATGACGATTTTTTTAAACAATTAACTCGATGAAGATATTTCAATATTTTATTTTTTAAACTAAACAAAAATTAAAAAAAAAAGATAATATTTGTCTGTTCTTTTTTCTTTTTTTAATTTAATTATTTTCAAAAATAAAACTTACTATCGAGGAAGATTTTTATCATTGATTGATTCAACAATAAAATTATGAATTTTCTTTTCATCTTTTTGAAGTTGAATCCAACGTTGACCAGCAAAAGCTCGTTGTTTTGTTGGTAATAAATTATTTTTAAATATGTCGAATAAATTTTTTTCGTTTTTAATTGATAATGATAAAAAAATAAACATTTGTAAATCATCATAAGATGATAATGATGATTCTTTTAAATGTTTTTCTATATCATTTTTATTGGTCAATGATAAAATATACTTTAGACGATCTTTCCATGTACCATCTTTTTTTAATAATTCATATTGATTTATTGAAGACATTTTGCTTAATTAAAAATCGAATAACTAACTAAAAAACTAAACACGTTATTTTATATATAAGCAAAAAAACAAAAATTTCTATGGATTGTGAAATATTCGTGAAGGATAATTATGTTGACATAATCGATACATTACCCTCGTTCTTTCTTCATAATGCGTAATGATGAATAAAAACTTGTTTTTATTTTTTTTTAATTATTCTCAATATTTTCTTTTAGACATAGAACTATATTCATGTTTCATGATGAGAAACAAATGTCCTTACTAAAAAAATTCTATATTTTCATGTAAAACTGGTGAATCAATTCATCGAAAATATATTATTTGTTTTTTTTTTAAAGGTCAGTTCGTTCTTTTAAAAGAATAATATATCAAGAACTATCATCATTTAATTGCAATAAAAACAAATTGAGAATGAAATATTCATAAACAAACATTTGTCATTATGATAGAAGCTTTTATTGATATTAGAATTTCTCATTAAAAAAAAGAAAAAAATAGAATCATTATATTTCTCAATAAATAAAATCTATTAAGCAATACATCGTTATGATTGTCACTTATCTCTCATTGATAAAAATATCAGTTTGCAAAATGGAAATTTATAGTGGATTTCTTTGCACTTTCATTGCCCCAAATTGAAAGCATTTTTCTTAGTCACAAAAGTGAAGAACACTCGAATTTGATCTGCATTTTCCCCTGCAATACCATTGGTTGACCAAGAACAAATAGAAATGGATCGTTTATTGATTAATATTATTTTTATATTTGATGATTTTTTATTTAAATTGACTTGTCGTCATTCTGAATAGATGATTATAAATATATCGAACATGAACAATATTGCTTTAGCTGGTGTTCCACCGTATATGCAAAATCAACTTTGGAACTGAGATTTTCTCAAAGGAACAGCACTTTTCTGGTTTTTCTCGGTAATACAGCACTGTGTGTGGGTGAAGATAGAGGATTGAAACGGAAAATTGCTTTTCTATTGAGAAAATCTCAGTTCCAAAGTTGATTTTGCATATACGGTGGAACACCAGCTAAAGGAATACCAAAAAAAATGTCAAATAGTTTATCTTTTATTAATAAATAATGGATTTTTTTTCTTTATAAAGAATGCGAATACAAATAAAATAAAATAAAATAATTATTGAAATTATTCGACACAATATCTTTTTATTTATATCAAGCAATAGTCGTTTGACTTATATAAATATGAACTATTTGAAAAGCATGTAGCTCTTAACAGTTGTACAAACAGAAAATCAGACTAATTTCATAAAAGAATTCTCTGAAATTCCAAATTTGAAATTTGCTTCATTATTGATGACTATTTTAGATGAAAAGTTCAATGTAATCGAAACTTATCGGAAATAAGAGAAAAATTTTTGTGTCTGTTTTTATTATACAAATAGTTAAATAAAAAAAGATTTATTATTTATAATATGCTAAGATCTTTGTACAGAACATATCGAATGAGAAACTCGACAAATATCAATTGACAACAAATTGTAGTCCTATGTACTGGTCGAGTTCAGACTAGTCTAAATGATAGAAGTATAAGGAAGAAGGTTAGATCTCATCATGCACGCAATATGTCACTTGCCAAGTGTTTAGTCGATTGAACCATATGATCATATTAGAAATAAAAATTTGTATCATAGAATACCGAAATGATTATATAAACTTGAATAGAAATGATTAAATATTTTTTTCTCATTGCTGAAGTTTAGAAGAAGTGTCTTCTATCCAAAAACTACTAAACATAAAACTAACAAGAAAATATTCTAAAATTTGAAAAAATCATTATTTTCACTTCCGAATCGAAATTTATTTCGATTTTAAATTTTCGTAATTTAAACTAACAACTAAGCTTATATTATGTAACTTATATATTCTTAAATTATAATCATCGGGATTTGTATCTTCATTAAAATGTAATTATAGTATCAAGACATTAAAAAATAGTTTGAAACTATAAGTTCTAATTAATTTTTACAGTCTAATAAATTTAAAAATCACTAATGTGTAATTTTCGTCAAGAAGTCAATCCAAATGCTTTGTATCTTTATCTATGTCTTCGGACTTCAACATAATTTTGTACTTTTTGTATAAAAAAGTACAAGTTTTTACTTATCAACAAGATGCCTAATAGACCCTTCGATGTGAAGCAAACAAAATTGCAAATTTGTACACTGACTATGCTGAAGACATTTCAGACTAGTCAAGTCGGTTTTTTTAGATTACTTTCAATTACATATTGAATGAACAAGAGCCAATATGTGATTTAGACCGCTTAAAATGACATCTGTCTGTAGCTAGAGAGTAATTTAGCTTCAGAGTCGGCATTGGAGTTTTAAAAAAAAAGTGATTCTCGGTGTGGGTATAGGTGTGGGCCGTTTAAGTGAAGCAAAGACTCACATCCACATCTCACACTTATACTCTTTCATCAGAAAATTCTAAATGGTTGTAAGAATGACCGAAAAATTCCAAAACAAAGTATGGATCACCATGAAAAACAAAACTACATATTTACTTATAACTCATCGTTATGAAATACTAACATGAGCTCGTGCGTACTGCACGATTGTTTTCTTCTTTAACGTATGACCTCAAAGCTTTAACCTTTCACGTAGTAAGAGCCATATAGACATTCCACATTGTGTATATAGATAGCCTACTGCCTCATACTCTTATATGACACATTTTTTATACTTCATTAGCTTTCGGGCTTATAGTCTTATATTCCCTTGTAGTTCTTGTAGCATTATCCCCTTATTGCCTTACTTCTTTCAGAGCCTATGGGTACCCCCATATAATAGTCCCCGAGAGACTATGGGATACCCCCGCAGAATAGCCCTCGAGGACCCATGGGTGCCTCCATATAATAGCACTTGATGGCCTAAGAGTGTCCCACAAAATGCCTCTGGGATCCTTCTTCTTGTAGTCTTATTTGACTTTTAACCTTTGATCCGGCACAGAAACACGCACACACACACACACACATGCAGACACTGAACATTATATATATATAGATTGAGAGAACAAATATGTTCTTAACTACGAACAGTTGATTTTATGAAACGCGTATCTAATCGATTAAAAAATCGTTTTTTCGCGAATATGTTCAGGTCTATTCTTTCTTGATTGTATTTTAAGACTGTCAAAGCAAACTCTTTCACCGCAGAAATCCTTAAAGGTTCTTCAGAGTCCACTTCAAAGAATAATGAAGCATATTAAGAATGCACTTTCAAGCCTTCTTTTTTATAAGCTTTTTTGCGTAAGATATACACGTACATACCAAGATTTTCACGCTTTACGGTTTAAAAGAAGGAATTTTGTCAGATGCTGCTCAAGGAAAGATAATTCTATGTTAATTATTTCGTTTGTATTCTCTACTACAGTTGCACTTTTATATGAGTGATAATTACGTCGCATTGTTCTAATACCTTGCTTATTGTCTAAACTAACATTGAATTCCTATTAAATGACAAGCAGATGATATTTATGTAATATTAAGCATATCGACTATTGAATTGAAACAAATCAATTGAATAAAACAGCTGTTTAAAATGTTCATCTATCTGTCTGAAAACTGGGTTATGCTCAAAGAAGTTCTAAATCAGCCTAAGTTAATTAATTATATGCTCACTTTAATAATGATTTCTGAAAATAGAAAGCCAGGCATATTTTTATCTAAAAATTGAAATACTTTTCTCTATCATAATAACATTAGTTCGAAAAGTAAAAATCTATTCAAAACATCATCTATCAATTATCTTTGATCTTTCGATTTGATTGACTAACTCACAGATAAATAAGTATCATAGTTGAAATTGTTATACAACTTGATATTTTTGTTTTTTTTTATTTCGGTTGACATAACAAAGACACAACATCGAAAAAGTTTTCATATATATTGTCATAAGTTTTCGATTGACCTTAATTATTTATGTCACTGTTGATATAACGTTTATTGGTTGCCTTTTAATTCTTTTCATTAAAGAAGCTTTCACTGGTTCTGTAATTTCCAAAAGGGCAATACGAAAATGATATTTTGGTGCACTATTGAAAGATGACATAAAAATAAAGATTAAATAAGGAAGACCAAGTGCTGCTAAAATGGATATAAGTGAAACTATACGTCGAATCATCGTCAATTCTCGTTGAGCATAAGATAATCTATTAACTGGGTTTACATGCTTACTCATTTCTTGTACATATCTAATCATTTTTAAATAGATAAATATTATGCTTAGCATAGGAAATAAATAAATATAGATTGCACTAGAAATTGTTAGAAACGATAATCCTAGAGGCACTTGACATATTTGATCATCAACATCATATTTTACTGGACCAGTAAACAGTAAAGGAATGAGATAAATAGTGCTACAAATCCATGGTAAACTAATGAGAAAAACTTGAAATTTAAATGATTGATAGAATAATTGAGATGGATAAACAATCAAGATATATCGATAGATAGCTTGCAATAAATAAGAATAATTTTGTATTCCAATAGAGATATAAGTAATATACCCTAGTAAAATACAAAATGAATTATAGAAGTAAATTTGTTTAATATCATTATGAAGTGAAAATGTAGCTACAGCAAACAGAGCACTTGAAAATATAAGTTCAACTAATTCATGAGTTTAAAATAAGTATTATTGCAAATTTCTAGTATGCTTTATCCAAAATAATCATGAATAAAAAAATTCGAGAAAGTATAGCAGCAATGGCACTACATATCATATCGAAAATATCAATTGGAATAAACCATGATTGAAAATTTGTTATGTTTGAGCTGTTTTGGACTGCCATTGGTTCCATTAGAGGAAAAAAAAGATATGCATGCAAAATCCAATCATATGATATAATTACACGGTTAACGAAATTGCAAATCTGTCAAATTATAAACATATCCGCACAAATTTCGAATCCCAGCTTTCTTCGAGTGAAATGACGATCCTACAACAAATAAAGGGTGTTTC